GACTTTATAAGCACAATTTTAACTAATAGACCTCAGTATAAATGTTATATAAATTTGTGGCAATACGAATGGAATCCTAATGGAATTTTTACTGGGTTAGGATGCCTGAAGCATTTAATTTCAACTACTTACGAAAACCGTACATCTTTACCCAATCATGGCGGTTTTGTTTACACTCGCTGAACAGTTTTACGAGCTTCAAAAATTTAACAACCAAAGGTTATTAATGTTATAAACATCCTTGAATGGTTTAAGAGCTCATAAGCTGTTTAATAAATGTAAACAAAGCCGCCATGATTTGGAAAAAAGATGTACAGGTTTCGCAAGTGGCTGGGTAAATACTTAATGTACCCTAGCCTAGATACATGCATAGTGCTAACCGCTTCGGGTATCAGGGTCATCACCTTCAAGAACCGGTCTATCGGAGTCTACCTATAAGTGGTAGCTGAAGGATGGTCCTCAGTCTTGGTTGACGACACAGGGCTGTGTAGACTTTGTACATTTCGTCAACGCCTCGCACAGGCAGTTCTCTGTCACTGTTATGTTGGCTTTCCGGTCTGAGAAAGTATGGAGCGAGGGTAAGTTGAAGCTCGAGGTGAGTTCTGCCTGCTGGAATTTCTCGTTGTTTAAGAATCAGCTACTGGGAACAAGTTAGGAGTACCCCGGGCAATGGTGAGACCGTAGTGGACTTACCTGGCATAGGAGCGGGGCCGTGTGTGGAATTTCTCACGGTACACTATATATATGGGTCCTGATTGACAATCGCGTACTCTATATGGGTCGATTCATAATCACGGGGCGCTACCCTGACTCGCAATCATACTACACTACATGGGCCTCTGATGACTCACAATCGCGGTTCACTCTACGGATTCTGACTCATAATCACGGTGCACTATTTGGCCCTGATTCACAACCACAGTGCCGTATCTGGGACCTGATTCATAATCAGGATACACTATATAGGTCTTGACTCACAATCACGGTACACTATAGGCCCTGACACAATCACCGTGCACTAAATGGTTTTGACTCACAATCACGGTGCACTATAGACTCCTGACACAATCACTGTGCACTCTATGGCAATGACTCACAATCATCGTGCACTTAATGACCCTAACACAATCACCGTGCACTATATGGCAATGACGCACAATCAGAGGCTCTTCGGTTTTTCCCAAGGTTCTTCAGTTTCTTTCCACCATGTATAAAAAATATTGTAGGAACCAAAAATTACATTTTTTTTTTTATTAACAACATTAACAAGATCCTGAAGGCAGTTCGGATCAAGAAGGATGTAAGGGACATGTTCTGCGGGCTGCTACAAACAATAGCCTCGTGTGTATGTGTGTTCGCGTCTATGTCTCTCTCAATACAGCATATATGCTAATGTGTGCTTTATATGTAAAAGCGTTTGGGAAAGTGAGTGACATCATCATGCTCATCTGACCCAGAAGACAAACCTGTTTTGTGGCCCCATGATCACACCAGGAAAATTTTTATATTTGTTGTTGGTCCGCGGGGTCCATGACGATACCAGTGCCGGATGTGTCTGGCGCTCCTGTGAAGGGAAAAACTCGAAGCTTATGCGACTATATACATGTCGCCTGTCGATGGGATATTACTGTGATTTACAGCATATAAGCGCACTGTTAGGCAGATGTTTGATAACCGTCTGGAGTCCCCTCGAGGTGAATGTCAGACCCTTCCTATCATATGCAAAATTAACAGGAAGACTCGATCAACACCCAGTGACCCCAGATGATAAGGCGTCAGGCGTCCTGTGAACTATGGGGAAACAGACCAAATTCGTGGCCTAAATGCAGCATAGCGATGGCTACTCCTAAACTCTACCCCAATCGGGCAAAATGTAAAAGCGTCTTCCAGTGAACTCGGCAGCAGCAGGAGCCCACGAAAATCCGCCAATACCCGACAGCTCTCAACCAAGTTGGCGCCGAACACTTTCTCTGCCCAGACATCCCACCGGAACCAGGAAAATTAAGCGCGCAAGGCATCGTATCGGCCTTGGCTGTTGTAGAGGAAAGTCTGACGGCAGTATCGAGACCCAATTCAATTTCACTTTCTTTCTTTATTATGCACCCCATACCCATCCCGTGGGCGGTGGTGTAAAAGATTACAGAGGCACATAATCGGTTCAGGAACTGAGCCCTCTAGTTCGTTTAGCTAAGCAAATAACAATCTTTTGACGCTAGTTACACAATTATTAATGTTATATATACATGCACACACTCTCATACATACATGTACATATGCGAACAGGCCTGAATGGTCCCCAGGACTATATGCAACTGAAAACTCACACCCCAGAAGTGGCTCGAACCCATACTGCCAGGAGCACAATGCAACTGGTATGTACAGGACACCTTATCCACTCGACCATCACGACCGGACAAAAGCTGATGGTAGCCGAGGCTATTTGCCCATCAGCCCGCCGGCACTCTGATGGTAATCTTGGACATAGTATTTTATCAAATCACCTCATTCTTTGGGGCACACGTGAGGAACACAAATGCGAACAAGCCTGAATGGTCCCCAGGACTATATGCAACTGAAAACTCACACCCCAGAAGTGACTCGAACCCATACTGCCAGGAGCAACGCAACTGGTGTATACAGGACACCTTAATCCACTCGACTATCACGTCTGATCGTGATGGTCGAGTGGATTTGGACGAGTAAAAATCGACGTATGTTAACCTGGAAGGTCAGACAGAGGGCATACAGGGCCCAGACTGACTAGGTGGAAAGCACGCCGGGGTGGTCAGGGCTGACACTGCCAGTATTCGTATTATTTTTTTCATTTTTGGTATTTGAATAACACCAAATAACGTTATATAAATAGGGACAGGAATATTTCTTGGGCATCTCGCTACTAGGTGCACAGACTTACATGGATGATGGTTGCAGTTTATTATAATAAGGTGAGGTTATTTGGTCTCTAATTATGGGGTTCTGTTTTGATAATGTGAAGTAAGCAACTCGATGTAGTGAAGGAAGCAGGAAGCCTAGTCCTTTGCAGAGTCTTGCTTGCCACTCTCACAGCGTTAAGGTACATCCCGTCTGTTTTAACCCTATAAAACAATTGATAGCAAATTAAAGTTATCGTACATTTGTACTGCTAGTTAACTAAATTATTTTTTTAGAATACGGAAAAATAATAATTGTTAGCCTCGCCCACCAACTCAATATTTTTTTCTCCCTTCCTATTTATGCTACGATGCTGAAACTTGGGCCAGATGAAACTCTTTTCATGTACAACCCCTCAAAAAAGTTTGATTGAAATCGAACCAGTTTTCATTAATTGCATATTTTGGCCAAATTTGGAGGTCATGCCCCCTAAGACCGGATAAAGAGAGAGACAGATCGAAAGACAGAGAGACAAAGACAGGCAGACAGGAAAAAACAGATATGGGTGAGAGCAGTAGCATTACTACTGCTCTCACAAGTAAGCTTGTGAAAGCTCACAAGCTCTTGTCAAGCCGCAAGTAAAGACGTCACATGGTGACTGACAGAACAACTTGTCTCTCACAAACAGTCCGTCTCACTGTGTACGTTATGGTCGCTAAACGTACAAATTACAAAGTACTGTGAAAAGTATCAGCTCACAAATATCCACGCTTTCGATTTCGGTTGGTCGGGTTAAGTAGGTTGCCTGGGTGCTACTAGCGTTTCTGGTTATCTTAGCACTGTATTTTATACGCTGTGGCAAATCGCGAGAACGGACTGGATGGAGAGGGATGGTGGATAAGGCAATAGGTACAACATGGCTAGTATAGGAGAGGAGGTCTCCCCCACCCACCACGGCAGGTTACTGCAAGGCAACCCAGTGTTGGGGAGAAGCAACAGAGCCAGCCACGAACCAGGAAAGTTTTGTCCGCCAATACTGCTTCCTTCGTCATTCTTGGGGTCATTGAGATCTTTTCCTTGTACGAAAATTGAAAGCACGCCAGTATGATAATTAAATTTGCATATCGTATTCAGTGTTTGGAAATACCAGTGCGTAGCCAGCGGGGAGGGAAGGAGGGGTGGGTGCCTATCATATTGAGCACCCTGAGCGAGTGGTATCGTTTGGGCAAGGTGAAGGAATGGCTATCGTACTGGACAAGTTGAAGGAATGGCTATCGTACTGGGCAAGCTGAAGGAATGGCTATCGTACTGGGCAAGCTGAAGGAATGGCTATCGTATTGGGCAAGCTGAAGGAATGGATATCGTACTGGGAAAGTTAAAGGAATGGCTCTCGTACTGGACAAGCTGAAGGAATGGCTATCGTACTGGGCAAACTGATGGAGCGGCATCGTATTGGGCAAGCTGAAGGAATGGCTATCGTACTGGGAAAGTTAAAGAAATGGCTATCGTATTGGGCAAACTGAAGGAATGGCTATGGTACTGGGAAAGTTAAAGGAATGGCCATCGTACTGGGCAAGCTGAAGGAATGGCTATCGTATTGGGAAAGTTAAAGGAATGGCCATCGTACTGGGCAAGCTGAAGGAATGGCTATCGTATTGGGAAAGTTAAAGGAATGGCTATCGTACTGGGCAAGCTGAAGGAATGGCAATCGTACTGGGAAAGTTAAAGGAATGGCCATCGTACTGGGCAAGCTGAAGGAATGGCTATCGTATTGGGCAATTTAAAGGAATGGCTATCGCACTGGGAAAGTTAAAGGAATGGCTATCGTACTGGGAAAGTTAAAGAAATGGCTATCGTACTGGGCAAGCTGAAGCAATCATACGGAATGAGTCAAAACTAACAGCCTAATAATAGCCTGAATGCCTATACTTACACGAAGCAAATATGTTTCTTTTACATATATTGTTTTGCACTTAATAAGACGCCCTGGAGCATCGCAGTTCGATGCACCGCCCTGGAGCGGGAGGAAGAGCTAAGGTCAAATTCTAGGACTAAGAAGAAAAGAAATGGCTTGAAATTTAATGAAATGTTTGGTGGAGACTAAGAGATCGGCGCCGGGTATATATTTCCTTCACCGGCGGGCCGCTGCCAGTCCGGCCCCAGCAATCGACGGAAGGAGTCACAACGTCTCTTCCTCCACTCACCATCTTGAGCCGACTTCGTTGAGTCTTACCCTTCTTATAGTCACTTCAGAAATTAATCTTCGCGTTACTTGGCCGGTTGCTGAGTGTGTGTAGGTCGCGAGATATCTGAAGAGACGAGGACAGAAGACAGTAATGGCGATAGTGAAGACGGTACTGATTGGCTTGACGGCTGCCATCATGACTGTCTTAGTACATGGTAAGTCACAGGTCTGAGTTACTGTGAGTGTTCCTCATTTGTTTGTGAGCTGATGAATGACAGATTATTGTATGATACTGTAACCTGTATATATCTCCTTTGTATCGTATGGTCATCTTGACAAAGGCATTAACTGTTGCTTAGACGCGCTCTTAACTTTGTCAGCGCAGCACAAGCTGATCTCTCGCGGGACAATTTGGTTTATTACTGTTGCTCATCTGTGTTCACGGTGGATGATTATTGTTGCTCATCTGTGTTCACGGTGGATGATTATTGTTGCTCATCTGTGTTCACGGTGGATGATTATTGTTGCTCATCTGTGTTCACGGTGGATGATTATTGTTGCTCATCTGTGTTCACGGTGGATGATTATTGTTGCTCATCTGTGTTCACGGTGGATGATTATTGTTGCTCATCTGTGTTCACGGTGGATGATTACTGTTGCTCATCTGTGTTCACGGTAGATGATTACCGTTTCATCGGTATTACACTGTGGATAACATTGCCTCTTAGTTGTGTCACAGTCATTTTGGCATAGGAATTATGGGAAAATAAGAGCGACATTAGGGAATGTGTTTTAACAGTCGTGACTCAAGTTGGAGAGGAGGCATATGCCTGTACTTCAGAGATATGAAGAAAATCTTATGCATTGTATTATACATGACGGCTATAAACTATGTACACTGCGGCCTTAATAATCCTGGTGGTTCAAAGGATTAAACTTACAAGCTAACTTAAGCTTCTAGTAGTTTAGGATCTCTTAAAGCTAGTCGTGTTCGTTCATTCGTTCGTGATAACAGGTTAACTTAACCAGTGAAAGTTGGACATAATGATACCGGTCGACGTTTAATATTTGTGTAAGCAGGACTTTTCTAACAACAGTCTGTAAGCCCTGAAAGAGACGATGACCTTAATATCGACCCGTTTAACAATAATAAATAGTTCATCAACCGCTTGCTCGTCAGTATAATGAAAACCAAAATATTTGTTCCACGAAGGTAAACCTAACACATCACTCGGCGTTTGGAGCGTGCGAGGCATGAGAGTGGAGCTGAGGGAGGAGTCAGGCTCCAACACAGCAGAAGACGCGGAACATGGAAACCTTTCCTTTCCCTTCCTCGTTGGTGGAACGGAAAAAGAGATTTAACAATTTACAACCATTTTAAAAAACAATTTACAAGATACTAAACTTCACCTCAGTGTGATCCCACCCACCATTGAGCCCTATAAGGGAGGGAATTTACGCAGGTAACGAGTGGACCCTCTAAATCACAACACAGGGGCTGACAGGGATTCTGACTCTCCAGTGACCGCTTGTCGCAAGTTCGGCTGTGCCAGTTACCAGTGTATTTAATAGGGCTTCACCGAACCTTTCAAAAAATATATTCCAGTCCCTCCACCAAACAAGGGTGTTGGCCCAAACAGTCGCAGCCGTAAAACATTATGCACTATGTAAAAGACACATCGAACACTTTATGTAGGGCATACGTAAATCTGTGTATCTATATATTTACGTATGTAGGTTAGCTTAGCATTTTAAAAGCACCGAATCACCTTCTGTGGTTGATTGTTCAATAAACCCTTGAACTATATGTTTAACACATCTCTAAGCCTGTCCATGGAGGACAAAAGAAAATGTATATATGCTGATTAGCATTGTAATTGTGTGGCCACGTCTGTGGTAGAAAATAATAATAATAAAAAAAAAGTCGCAGCCGTTGGACAGGCTCAACTTCCAGATGAAGGAAAATCGAGAAAATACGAGTCTCCATAGACGACCTACACATGTATGGCACAGCCACAATCAGCTTTGGTTCTGCATACTTCACCACAGGAGGCCCAGAAGAAATCCACCAACAGAGCTTGCCTAGCTGAAATAAACAGAGAAGCCCCACCAGTGCGACTAGGTAGCTGCCATGGGTGAAGGTTCGGGGGCAGTTGCAAGCTACATTGTGAGCAGAAATTCTGCTACCTGTTGTTGTTTTAGAGTCAGCTGCTCGAAACATAAGTTCCGAGTAGCACGGGCTATGGTGAGCCCTTAGTGAACTTACCTGGCACAGGAGGGGGGGCAGAAACTGTCAGACTTTTGTTGTTGTTGTTTTAGATTCAGCTACTTTGAACACAAGTTCTAAAGTAGCACGAGCTATGGTGAGCCCGTAGTGGACTTACCTGGCACAGGAGCGGGACTGTGTTCTGCTACCGTTCAGTCTTAGTGATGGACTGGCAAGGAGTGAGGTGTCCATACGCCGGGGGGGGGGGGGTGTTTGTTGCTCTGAGGACACGTAGAGGTAAACCTCATCAAGAACAGCAAAATTTACATTTTGCTGTTTTTAGTAAGGCTGTTTTAATGTTGCTGTTAATTTGTGTTTTAATTATCTTTGTTTACCAATTAACACCAGCTCGCTTTCTTGCACAGGTCAGAGTGGCATATTGGACCAAAAGTGCATGGCCTGCTTGTGCGAGGCATCGACCAGTTGCACTACGAAGCCGGTATGTGAAGACCCTGCTATAACTGGTGGCATTTTCTGCGGCCCCTTCCACATGAGTCGGGAATACTGGATTGACGCTGGTAGACCCATTATCAAAGGCGACCTTAAAACGTCCCGAGACGGTAAGCAGCTTATGGCATAATTTTGTCTTAACATTTGTACCTATCAGCCGTTAGTACACCAACACTTATGTCTGTGAGGAAATCTTTAGATTGAGACCACGGGATCGAACCTGCGTTCTGGGTTACTCCAGAAGGTGGCCGTACCCATGGACTACGATGTGCATGTGGAGGGGTGACCCAAAACGCTGGGGTTCGATCTCGACGTCCTGCTTAATGCTCTATGCTCCCTCAGTATATATTGGGGACCCTAGTAGCTAACTCCGCCCACAAGTAGATAGCCTCCGGCACTACCCAGCCACTCCTTAAACGTCGGCATGTTTGAAGGCTACCAGACTACAATTATAAGCTTAGCGGAAGCAAGGTGAAATTCTCATGATCTGACCTCAGGTCACTTGAGGTCATTAACGCTTTGAGGTGTGAGATCTCAGGCAGACAACTGGCGCCTCTCAGATCCTTGTGTGTGACTCATGTACTCTATGTATGTATTAAACTAAACCAAACACTTTTACAGTGTTACAGTCCCACTCCAAAGATTTTGTCACAGTATATAACATTATTGCGATGTCACTGTGTACTTATGTTCATGTTTACTGATCAATAAATATAAAGTCAATTAAATACATACCTAAGATTACATTAATAAATATTTTTATCTTTTGACGTCTCCATTTGCCAGAAATTTGTGATTATTACTAGGAAAAAATAGTAAAGCTAACTTATATTTTACAGCGTTTAAAAACTGTGCCCTTGACCTGCACTGTTCTGCCAAGGCCGTCCAGAACTACTTCAAGAGATACGCTTTTGTAAGTATAGAGAATGACCGGAACCTGTATGGCATGAATGGAGCAGCCTAATCCTGAATAGTGTGAACAAAGAAGGCTGAGGCTGCTCTCACCTATATATAACTAACCTATTTGTGTTATCAGAGTAGACTTTTAGCTCTTGGACCCCCTCCTTTCCAACCACTGGTTGTCTGATACAATGACTAACTATTATCCTCTCATATCAACTTTTGAAATTATGATGGAATATGGAGTTTGCTTCCACAACCTGGTCGTTTATTAAATTTCATTTTATTACTCTAACAAGAAAATAATCAATCAAAATCAACTTCTCTGTGGCTCACTGTTTCTGAAGTCTATACATGCCTTCTTAATCTATCAGTATTGATGTGAGCATTTCCTTATTCCAATCTCATTTCCCCAGTGCGACTAGGTAGCTGCCATGGGTGAAGGTTCGGGGGCAGTTGCAAGCTACATTGTGAGCAGAAATTCTGCTACCTGTTGTTGTTTTAGAGTCAGCTGCTCGAAACATAAGTTCCGAGTAGCACGGGCTATGATGAGCCCTTAGTGAACTTACCTGGCACAGGAGGGGGGGCTGAAACTGTCAGACTTTTGTTGTTGTTGTTTTAGATTCAGCTACTTTGAACACAAGTTCTAAAGTAGCACGAGCTATGGTGAGCCCGTAGTGGACTTACCTGGCACAGGAGCGGGACTGTGTTCTGCTACCGTTCACTCTTAGTGATGGACTGGCAAGGAATGAGGCGTCCATACGCCGGGGGGGGGGTGTTTGTTGCTGTGAGGACACGTAGAGGTAAACCTCATCAAAAACAGCAAAATTTACATTTTGCTGTTTTTAGTAAGGCTGTTTTAATGTTGCTGTTAATTTGTGTTTTAATTATCTTTGTTTACCAATTAACACCAGCTCGCTTTCTTGCACAGGTAAGAGTGACATATTGGACGAAAAGTGCATGGCCTGCTTGTGCGAGGCATCGACCAGTTGCACTACGAAGCCGGTATGTGAAGACGCTGCTATAACTGGTGGCCTTTTCTGCGGCCCCTTCCACATGACTCGGGAATACTGGATTGACGCTGGTAGACCCATTATCAAAGGCGACCTTAAAACGTTCCAAGACGGTAAGCAGCTTATGGCATAATTTTCACTTAACATTTGTACCTATCAGCCGTTAGTACACCAACACTTATGTCTGTGAGGAAATCTTTAGAGTGGGACCACAGAATCGAACCTGCGTTCTGGGTTACTCCAGAAGGTGGCCGTACCCATGGACTACGATGTGCATGTGGAGGGGTGACCCAAAACGCTGGGGTTCGATCTCGACGTCCCACTCCAAAGATTTTGTCACAGTGTATAACATTATTGCGATGTCACTGTGTTCTTATGTTCATGTTTACTGATCAATAAATATAAAGTCAATTAAATACATACCTAAGATTACATTAATAAATATTTTTATCTTTTGACGTCTCCATTTGCCAGAAATTTGTGATTATTACTAGGAAAAAATAGTAAAGCTAACTTATATTTTACAGCGTTTAAAAACTGTGCCCTTGACCTGCACTGTTCTGCCACGGCCGTCCGGAACTACTTCAAGAGATACGCTTTTGTAAGTATAGAGAATGACCGGAACCTGTATGGCATGAATGGAGCAGCCTAATCCTGAATAGTGTGAACAAAGAAGGCTGAGGCTGCTCTCACCTATATATAACTAACCTATTTGTGTTATCAGAGTAGACTTTTAGCTCTTGTACCCCCGCCTTTCCAACCACTGGTTGTCTGATACAATGACTAACTATTATCCTCTCATATCAACTTTTGAAATTATGATGGAATATGGAGTTTGCTTCCACAACCTGGTCGTTTAGTAAATTATATTTTCCTACTCTAACAAGAAAATAATAATAAAAATCTAACTTCTCTGTGGCTCACCTGTTTCTGAAGCTTCTATACATGCCTCCTTAATCTATCAGTATTGATTGTGAGCATTTCCTTATTTTCCAATCTCATTTCCCTAAACAATTTATGTCTATCATGTCTCTCTTCTCTCCCTTTTTTTTTCTCTCTCTTCTAGCGGCGTTAGGTCGAGGGCTTTTGGTCTTTTTTCACCCCCCATCTCTCGCAATTCTGTCACCGAACTTCGTTTCAAGTCTCAACACCTTTCCCAGTTTATTTATTAGTTTTTCTGAGGTGCGGACTACACGATGGGGCGCCATACTCTAGAACTGGTCTGGTGTCGGGGTCCCAGTGGTGTAGTCTCAGTATATTTGTATGGTGTGAATGGAGCAGAGTGAATGGATATGGTGTGAATGAAGCTGCTAGGCCTATGTTCTAAAACTAAACAAACCATTCAACACACTCCCAACTATGCACTGAACTATTTGATGACTTTTAAATGCCAACACTAATTGGTATATCTGGTACCTGCACTAATTGGTATATATATATATATATATATATATATATATATATATATATATATATATATATATATATATATATATATATATATATATATATATATATATATAATATGGTATTGGTATATTTTAAAATTCCAACACTAATTTGTGCATTAACTAATTGGTATATAATGTATAATTAAATTCCAACACTAATTGGTAATGGTATATATAATAAACACAGGTTAATGTTGCCAAATTAACATATGGCAAAATTAACATATGACAACATTAACATGTAACAATATTCACTAATGCAAATGACCTCAAGTGAGAGAGAAAGAGTTATTTCTACATTCATAAGCAATGACACTTTGGCATCACCTGCTTGTTTATCTAGCTATATTATTTAATGTTTAGAAATAACTTTTTCTCTGATTCATTCTGTGCTAATATAATTTTTGTGGACGCTGTTGTATATATAATTGGTGTCTTTGTGTAGTGTGTACGAAGAATCATTGCTCTATGATCCATTGTGCACACTGAATTAAAAATTTAAAAATAGAAAATTAAAGACCTGCGGTCTTTAATTCTCTAATTTAGAGTAGAGTGATCCGAAGTTAATATAGTCATGTACAGTAGCATTGGCAGCACAGTAATAGAATACACTTTATTGTTTTAGGTTTGGTTCTCATATTACTAAACACACATATTTAGTACCGGTTAGTACTTAGTAGAACATAAGAGTATAAGAACATAAAGAGTAAAGTGAACTGCAGGAGGCCCTTTTGCCTATACAAGGCAGCTCCTATTTACAGCCACCCTAACTCATTCATAACATAGACTTAAAACAATCCAGCTATCCGAGGTCAGTTATAATACCCGGTAATTTGTCCCATAAACCTACAACCTTTGTTTCCAAACCAGTATTTACGCAGGTCCTTTCTGAATCTAAGATAATCCAATTTATATATGTTGATTAGTGTCCTATTTTATGCAGATTTTTTAAAAATCTTTTTATAAACCTTTTGTATATCCTTTCGTCCATGTTTGTACTTTAATCATTACAGAACCTATTACTCGTCTTTCTTTAGAATCTAAATTAAGTATTTTTAAATCTATACATAAGGACTGTCCCGGATTCCTAGGATAAAACTTTTCCATCCTTCTCTATACGCGTTCAGGTGTATTAATGTCCATTCTATAGTAGAGAGACCCACTTCTTTGTCATTACTAGACACCTGGCCTGTCCCGTGTTCCCTTGGCCCCGTCTTCTCCCTAATCTTTGTTTGATATATCTGAAAAACTTTGTGATTTGCGTTTGCTGGCCTTGCTATACATACTTTAATATTTCTTATGCTTTTCTTATTTCTTTTTTACTTCTTAATTTGACAAATTGTTATTTTAGATAGACTTCCCCATTCTTAATCGTAGCATTCTTATTTTCCGATACGAGTGTTCAGTCCCATGGTTACCCATTTTTAGGTTATTGTTTGTCGACCAAGCTAAGGTAATTATCAGGATAAAGCACTAAGCCATTATGACTATATAGCCCTTGGAAAAGATATGAGGATAAGCTACGGGCTATTAATGCCACCTTTTGGGTAGCTTAATCTTTATGAATCAATCTATGAGGATAAGGATTTAGGCAAGGACGGAACGAAGGAATGGTGTCCAACCACTTGGACGGTCGGGGATTGAATGCCGACCTGCAAGAAGCGAGATAGTCGCTCTGCCGTCTAGTCCAAGTTGTTGGGTTGTGTATTCACCTAATCAGATATTGTAATATACACTTCTTGGCTTTACTAAGAATAATTGTAAATGAGGTATAATTTGAATCTACATAGTAATCCATTGTCCCGTCACCCACCGCCAGACCTTCGACACGTACTAAGAACTGCGTGCTTTAAATATTCAAGTCCGTCCAATCAGCCCTTCTCAGGAAACTCCTTAATCCCTCATAATCAGCTTGATGGAACTCTTGACACTCTAGCATAGTCTCCCTCACAAACAACGTTACGTTCTGTGGTAAATCTGATTAACTGTGATCGCTATTTTCCGACTCACTCCCTATTTCGAGGATATTTATTAGTCATCCTGTTAGCTGGCACTAACTCTAAAATATTATTTTCCTGTATTGGTTCATTAATATGTTGTTTAAGGAAGAAATCATCAACTAATTCTAAAAAAAAAAAAAAAATTCTGCTTCAGCATTCTCAGTTTTGTTAGTCCAGTTAATTTTACAAAAATTATAGTTGCTAATAACACATTGTTAGAGCTAAAGGTTCTAACTATTTTGTCGAAGTTTAGAACTAATACACTTATACACAACTCCTAGTATTAGTCTATCATTGTCTTCATTTTAATCTTATCCATATTGTTTCTGGGTGTGACTCGGTTTTGGCTCACCTCTTTGGCAGTGCACATTACATTGTCTCTGATGTATGTTGCTACTCCCTCCCCTTGCTTAGCCTGTGTATCAGGTTTGTAGGGATTAGTTTTGAAAAGTTTCTATTCAATAAGCTGTACGCTGGTAGGGGTGCTGATTGGTGGTGGTAGTCGCTATTGGTGATGGTGGTCACTCTCGGTGGTGGTGATCACTATTGTTGCTGTTAGAGGTGGAGGTGGTCACTATTGATGGTGGTGGTCGCTATTGTTGGTAGTCACTGTGGTGGTAGTGATCACTGCCGGTGATGATCATTGGTGGTGGTGGTGGTCCCTGATTGGTGGCAATGGCAAATAGGTCGTTTTAGTCTGAAATACGTGATAATAACTGTAGATCTTAAGCAACATACTAAATACTCTTAATCCACGAAGACGTCACTGATAAAGCTTCAGGATTAATTAAATTTTGTAGTTTAAGACATAAGGTAATGTACCAAGAGAAAGTGAAGTCAAAATGACTATATAGGCCGTGGATGGAATATGAGGACAAGGGGCTGGGATAGGACGGAGGGAAGGAACGATGCCTTACCTCTTGGTTCATTGGGATATCGAACAGCGACCCTGCAACAAAAACGAGTTAGTATAAAAACTGTTCGAGCAAGCTGCACACGAGAGCATCTTTATAATACATAGCAGTGTTGTTAAAGTCCTGCCATTAACGCACTTAAAAGTTAACCAGGTGAAATATATTGTGAAGATGCGTCATATTATACAATGTAATCTTTATTTCCCCGAGTCTGATGAACTAGGGCTGCAACTTTTTAACCAATACAGTACATAAATTGTAATAATATTAATTTGGATATCCGAACACGTTTCAGTTAAGGCTTATAATATATGTCTTATCAGAAATTGACTGTCGCTTTTCTTAACGCAGTTACAGACGTTATGAATATGAGTTTGCTGACGAAAGTTAAGAATAACTCATTATTTTTGTCCTTCGATTTGCTTAAAAGAATTAATTTAAATTTCAACTCTTGGATCCTTTAACCTTAGAGAAGGTTAGATCCTGCGAACTTGCAGTTTGCAGGATCATTTTATAATCAAACCCTTAAAACAAACGCCATTTTCCGAACATTTCCAATGAAGTAAAAACGTCAATAAAGGCTTCTCTTGCTCCCACAGAATGGCCGCATTTCCCCAGACTGTAACGGAGATGGAGAGGTCGACTGTGTTGACTTCGCTCACATACACAAGCTGGGGCTCAACGGCTGCAGACGCGCGTCCTTCACCGAAACAAATTTCTACAAGAGATTTGCTTCCTGTTGGAAGGTGGTCACGGAGGCAAAAAAGTTCTAGTCAATAATTTGTCTGACGCAAGGCTGTTAATAGTCAGCCTCGGTGTGACGCACATTGTCTAGTGCGTCACGCAGGGTGACATTATTTAATACCTGTATATAGGGATAAAACAAAATTGATACATTTGTTACTTTGTTAATGACTACGGAGTGGAGGCTTCTTACCTCTTAAAGTCACATTACTGAGGTTTGGATGATACACTTGTTCAAATATGCATAATTAGATAACTCGAATGTCTCTATTATAAATCGACTCTCTATTATAATATTGTCATGTTCTATTAACTTTGTTAATGCATTTGTATGTAAATAGTGTACGGTCATCATAGAGGAAACATTCCTAGTACTGTCTGGTGCTTTACTAAATAAATTACGTTTTATAATAGTTATTTGTTAACATTTGTTTGTTAAATAATTCCTTCACGCCAGGGTGGCACCCCAGGGAACGCTAAAATTTACAACTGGGCAGCAAAGAAGTGCCTCTGGAATCCTTCCTTTTAAAAGGGTGTTGGTGGCTCAGTAGGTATAGCTGTGGGCTACAGTTTATGTGGTCGGCGGTTCGAGGCTCGGATTGTCCAAAAACAAACAAAAAAATCTTATCGAATTGTAAAGCTTTCCAGTACATGATATTTTATTTTTTGTTTTAAACTTTTGAGTTAAAACTAACAGAAATTTGATCAAGCCTAACCTAACCTAACAGAACCAATTTGGAAAGAAATATTTGAAAATAACGAAAATCACTCGGCCTGTTAGGCAAATTAGGCCTTGTTTTCTAGGCCAGGTAGTGCGATTCAGGCTATTAGTTACGACATATATGTATATATATGCTGACTATCATATCTTGGATAATAACATTTCAAGACTGATGGTTCGAGTGAATATGTTTTCTATCCCTAAAAATGTACATGATTTTAATGAAGTCTCATTCCACCATCGAAATATTTTCAAAATACGTAGGAACTCCTTACAATATAATTTAATATTACCTGTAATTAATATTAAGATTACCTGTATATTACCCAACTAATCGGTGTACTTGACAGCAGTGAGAAGGAAATTAGTAGTGGGTTGCTGTGTATTTAAGCTGTAATAAGACTGAAACAAGTGTTTGTGCACTTACTAATAGAAGATGGCATTATTTATGCAGTAACTGAATCTGCTATTGAATATGGGCTCGTAAGGTTTGGAGCAATCCGTATAGCCGAACTTGTGGAGCCTCGCAAAGTCGTCGCAGTCAATAACGCCGTCGCCGTTACAGTCCTGTGAAATAAGGTTTACTTAAATAAAAGTTATAACCTATTGGTTATAAATAGGAGCTGCCTCGTATGGGCCAATAGGCCTTCTGCAGTTGCCTTTGTTCGTATGTTCTAAAACACATATTGCTGGAGGTATCTTAAGGCATTGCTTACATGAGTGTGTGTTTTGAAGGTCGCTTAGGAAGACTGAGAGGCAGGAGTAGCCTGGTGTAGATAATATTTAGGCGACAACGGAATAACGTAACCTATCCTATTCCTAATTATACACAAAAATTATAATTTACAATAATATATCTTGATTTCCAAGAAAATTTAATTTTTGGTCATGCAGCACGTTAACAAATGCATCTTTTGGGGTCTCTGAACAGCTTCGACGAGCATAGCCTAAGGAAAGGTTAAGTACTGAGCACTGGGTAATGTTTATGAGGATTAGACGTCATTCACACCATACAGACTCAGGCAGCATCATTCACACCATACAGACTCAGGCAGCATCATTCACACCATACAGACTCGGCTGCACCTGCACTCGCCCCCAATACTACCTGATGTCTGGGGTCGCCCCAACATCAGTCCTCAGAATGTTCCGTGCTTTCGTAGCCAGCACTCCTCCCAGCTAGACTCTAGAGTGTACTGAGAGAGGTGGTGGCTTTAAGCCAATATTCCAGCACCTCCCACTTAACTTTTGTGTTGCACTTCTTGTTATTTTGCCTTAACGTAACTTTTCATTGTGTCATTTAAGTATTCTTATTATTTTGATTCATTGATTTTATTATAAGAATTTGTTTGTGCATTATTTTCATGTTTGATTTATTTAACGTAATTAAAATTTCATTGTTAAAGTTTTACTTGTGTTTTGTGTGTCTTCTCCTTACCTTACCACAGACGAAGTTCCAGTTTTTCTATTTTTTTTTATATAACTATGTGACGAGGCCATACCCCTAGCCTTAAACAGCCGAACACCAACGCGTTACCGTCACACAGCCCTATCAGGGAGGCTGTCGGCCGGCAGGGCGGGAGTCTCTGTCAACTACAGACCCCCCCCCCCCCTCTCTATTCAACTTAGACTCAGTCCTCGGTGAGTGAACATTTAGGTGACTTGGTCGTGTTTACATATGTTGTGTGATGATCAGGGGCAGTCAAGTTGTAGGGTTCTCGAATTCTTGGATGATGACTCACTTTGCATATTAAACTGGAACATTTTAATTGAATTGCTAAATTATGATACTTCATGTGAAATATAATTATGAATTTATTATTTAAATTGTGTTTAACTTTGTGCCCTAGAGCTTTGAGTTGAGGTGAGAAAGCTTCTGTGGTTACTGGTTTCATGATATAAATGAGTACATGTTTGGAGTTGATACATGGTACAGAGGGAACATACTAATAATGAACTCATGATAACATCCTTTGAGAATTTTGTGATACAGGCAAGTTCCATTCCTTGTCTTGTATGTAATGATCATGAATGGATGGTGGCAGCATTTCGTCTTCGACTATCTACTCTTCTACTTCTACCTATCTACACCTCTCCCTCCACCCCTCTCTAAACTCTCACTTTCAACTAATGACCCTCCTCGCTCCTCCCACCTCTCTACCTCTCACCCCAAACCCTCACTAATTACTTCACTTTTCATTTCTTTCCTTTCGTTTCCTCTTATACGTTTGTGGCAATGATTCTGTATTCTAGAGTTCTCTCTGGAGTTTCGGGTAACTGATCAAGTGACAGCGCCTTGTAGTCTTAGCACTTAGGTAGTCAAATACCTAGGTTACAAGGTGTTGAACGAGAGAGGCTGCCTTAGGAACTCTGGGAGTGCTCTAGAATAGTTAGCTAACTGGGGACGGGATAACGGGCAGAGAGAGCTGTTTCCCCCGGCCTCGTTAGTTAACTGGGGGGTGGAATAATGGACAAGATAGAGCTATTTCCCCCACCCCCCGTTACATCAGGCTACATCATTCACCCCATACAGACTCGGGCAGCATCATTCACACCATACAGACTCAGGCAGCAGCATTCACACCATACAGACTCAGGCAGCAGCATTCACACCATACTGACTCAAGCAGCAGCATTCACACCATACAGACTCAGGCAGCATCATTCACACCGTACAGATTCAGGGAGCATCATTCACACCGTACAGATTCAGGCAGCATCATTCACCCCATACTGACTCAGGCAGCATCATTCACACCATAGAGACTCAGGCAGCATCATTCACACCATACAGACTCAGGCTGCATCATTCACACCATACAGAGTCAGGCAGCAGCATTCACACCATACAGAGTCAGGCTGCATCATTCACACCATACAGAGTCAGGCAGCAGCATTCACACCATACAGAGTCAGGCTACATCATTCACACCATACAGACTCAGGCAGCAGCATTCACACCATAGAGACTCAGGCAGCATCATTCACACCATACAGACTCAGGCTACATCATTCACCCCATACAGACTCGGGCAGCATCATTCACACCATACAGACTCAGGCAGCAGCATTCACACCATACAGACGCAGGCAGCAGCATTCACACCATACTGACTCAAGCAGCAGCATTCACACCATACAGACTCAGGCAGCATCATTCACACCGTACAGATTCAGGGAGCATCATTCACACCGTACAGATTCAGGCAGCATCATTCACCCCATACAGACTCAGGCAGCATCATTCACACCATAGAGACTCAGGCAGCATCATTCACACCATACAGACTCAGGCAGCAGCATTCACACCATACAGACTCAGGCAGCATCATTCACACCATACAGAGTCAGGCAGCAGCATTCACACCATACAGAGTCAGGCTACATCATTCACACCATACAGACTCAGGCAGCAGCATTCACACCATACAGACTCAGGCAGCATCATTCACACCATACAGACTCAGGCAGCAGCATTCACACCATAGAGACTCAGGCAGCATCATTCACACCATACAGACTCAGGCTACATCATTCACACCATACAGACTCAGGCAGCATCATTCACACCATACAGACTCAGGCAGCATCATTCACACCATACAGACTCAGATTGCTCTATGCTCTTGACTTACTTTGCCATATTTTGCCATGTAGTTGCGGATGGTCTTCACGGAGCACGTGTAATCGTGAACACAGTCATTAAAAGCTGCAAAATTATAAATTTTATTAATTAGTTTGATAGCAATATTTTCATGTATTATCTCGGCACGATTATATTTCAGTTACCATTATAGTCCTGCCAATGCTCTTGGAAGATAGCCAACTCTAACAAGGTTACATTTTAAATAATCCTATTAAAATGAGCAATTTCGACAAATTTTAAGCTAAAGGGTAATAATTGTAAATATCTAAAAATTGGACATTATAAAACATTAGATAACAAAAACCTATATGTTAATGTAAAGCAAATAGTCGAAATATACAACTGAAAAGTCAACTTAAAATTGGGCCATAATTAAGCTGCACCATAAGGTACGTATGTCACATATGCACGTATTTAATAAGTCAATATTGACTGTAAGAAAGTGCGAGAATGGGTTGAAGGTACGTACCATTTTCTGCATAGGGGTCGTCCCTTTCGTTAAGAACGGGTTTGCCAGCTTCATTCCAGTAGGGTTTAGATATGAGGAAGGGACCACAGACCTTCAAGTTAACAGAATGACAACCCATAGCCTTGTTACAACGAGTGGACGCATCGCACAAGCACCCTAAGCAATCGTCAGTCATTTCAATGTCAGTCTGACCTGCGAGAGTAAAGAAGTAGGATTAACAGACGGTAGGTCGTTGCATAACTTAATTGTAACAAAATTGTATCAACCCGTCCTCATCAACAAAGGCCAAATGTCCGTTAAATCAGCCGTCAAACCCTCTTGTTTATAACAACCCGTCTACAGACCATGTCCATTCCATCCAGGGGTCGAACCCAAAGACGTACAGTATTCGTAAATTTTAACATGCCGTTCATTCAAAATAGGAATTGTCTCAGATATAAATTAATATTGTTATATATTAGCACACTGTGCATATTTAGGCATTGGTTACGTTAGGTTAGGTGTTTAGGTTTTGTTGGCAATTACTTGTATTTGACAACCCGTCCTCGATTCAAGTCCATTATATCCAGCGGTCGACCCCACAGACGCATTCAGAAATTTATGAATGCGTCTGTTGTAATTTTTTTTTATTGATAAAAGAAAACCACAAAGTACAAACAAAAAACCATACACAAAAAAAAACACGAGTACATACATGATACACAGAATACAGTATACAGTAATACAACAGTTAAAGAACATAAACACAAGAATAATCTAAAGTGAAAGACACATGATACAAAGCATATAACAAACCCCAACACGGGCACATAAGACAAAGCTAAAAGCAGTACAAGACATAAGGCATTAATAACAGAAAACAGAACCACATAGGGTTAAGTACAAAAAACAAACAAAAGCACAAAAAACATGTAAACGACCAAAAGGCCGTAAGAACACCAGTACATAATATAAACCACCACACCACTAAACACACCACTACAGCAGCACAATAACACAACCAACCACGCATACTACACACACAGCCGGAAGTATAAAACCACACCCAACCACACAGAACATGTACAGGACACGAACACACAAACACATGCAACCCCACCCCACACCCACGCACCCAGGCGCAAGCAACCCGACAACACACCCACGAACCCAGGCGCAAGCAACCCCACAACACACCCACGCACCCAGGCGCAAGCAACCCCACAACACAAACACGCACCCAGGCGCAAGCAACCCGACAACACACCCACGCACCCAGGCGCAAGCAACCCCACAACACACCCACGCACCCAGGCGCAAGCAACCCCACAACACACCCACGCACCCAGGCGCAAGCAACCCGACAACACACCCACGCACCCAGGCGCAAGCAACCCCACAACACACCCACGCACCCAGGCGCAAGCAACCCGACAACACACCCACGCACCCAGGCGCAAGCAACCCGACAACACACCCACGCACCCAGGCGCAAGCAACCCGACAACACACAACAGTCAACGAGGCGGATATTTCTCAGGAAACTTCCACGACGGATACTTCCGCTTATATGCCTCCCATATTAAATACTCCAGTTCGGTAGGGGAACGGCCCTCACGACACTGCGGGTACTCCATATACTCGGGAATCACCACATCCGGCGGGAGTGGTCGCCCCCAACCACAGGACACCGAAGACGAAGAACCCGACTTGGAAGGCAGGAACACCGCCGCCGAGGAAGCAGGAGACGCCGGGGGGGGGGGGTAGAAATAGCCTAAGCTACTCTATCCCTTTGAGATGTATTTATTGCTTATCTCAATAAACATACTTGAACTTGAGACGCCGGAACAGCGGGCGGAGGCTGCCGAGGCGGCAACACCGCGTCCGACAAAACAGGAGACACAGAAGAAATGGCCGGAGACATGTGGGGCGGCATAACCGCCGCCGACGAAACAGGGGAGATGGGAGGGGGCACGGAACTCTTAGAGCGAGCAGTTTTCTTCAAGACCACCACCAGGTCGCCACGTCCACTCTCAACCTCGCAAGGGGGAACCACCCCTCACGGGGAATCGGAACCATCCGTCGCGGGCGATGCACCCGTAGCAAGAGGTACCGGCCCCACACAGGCCCCCACCCCCACACGGGCCCCCACCCCCACACGGGCCCCCACCCCCACAGCAGGAGCCACACCAGGGGCCCACACCATCCACCGGACCCACACCAGTACCAGACGCACCTTCCTCGCACTCCACAGAGGAACAGCTCTCAGAAGAAACATCAACACTTGCCGCATCCACACATTCCTCTGCCCACGAACGAGGAGACAAATCACCCGTATCTGTACGCGAACGCTTGGGGACAGGTCGTTGATCATCGGAGCTGTCACCCCCGGCAGGAGGCACCCCAGAGGAGCCGGCGGCAGGCCGCCCCACAACCGGGGTAGCACGACCCCGCAGAATGTCAGCCTCAACAACACGGGGGACGAGACCGCCACCCATAGAGGAGACAGGAGAAGGAACAGGCGCGGCCGCAGGAGGGGAAGGGTCCAACACAGGTGAGGGAGCCTGCTGAGACGTCGAAGGCGCAGAGTCGGAAACAGGTGCAGAAGCCGGTGGAAGCGACGAGACAGACTGCGGGGGCGGAACCGCACACACCACCACCTCGTCGTGTACACCTCCATCTACACATGCCTGGCCAACAGTTACCACCGGGTCAGCAGGCGGCAGAGGAACCTCCCCACCCATTCCAACACGAGGCGACGGGTCCTGTGCCACCAACGGAGGAAAATCCTAGTCCTGGAACAAATTAACAGGTGCAGCCGCGACCCCAGTGCAATCAGCTGCCTCTCAATGCCACAACAAAAACATTGCCGAGGCTGTCTTGCGTTGAACGCCCGCATGGTGTAACCCATCAAGGTCACCGCGGAGGGAATAGGAGACTTGAGCCGCAGGCCGAGAATCCGGGTCCCACACGAGACTCCACGCCACCTGCCGGCAGAGACGGAGTTCATTCGGATGGAAGCGACAGTCCCAAACTTGCCAAAATACCGTCGAAGCAAAGCCTCCGTAAATTCAAACGGCACACCATGCAGGGCCACATACGTTACCGAGCAGCACTAGTCAGAGATAGTGACGGTACCACCGTCCCCAGGGAGAGGAAGAGAGCGCCCATCGTAATGGGCCACGAAGTCCCTATAGCAGCCCGTCCTCCAAAAACGGGGTGGTAAATGTAAGAAGACAAATAAGTCCAATTATGTACTATTCATAGCAGTTAGGAATTGTACTTATTTTCACTTAGTATTAAATCGTAGTCAAATATATTGTGAATATTTGAGTTTACCAGAAAAACTGAATAGAAAACCACAACCGCACCTAACCGTCTTAGTTTTTGAAGATAATAATTTTATTGTTTCTTAATTACAATTAGTACTTAACCGATAGCTATATTGATATTACAGTTTTATAAAACTAATAAAACAAAATTAAAATATGTCAATAAATTGTAAAGTAACTCAGGATATTTTAAAATTTTGTATAAAATCTATATTGTTTAATAAACCAAAAAAAAAGAAATTGCTGATATTTAAAACTTGTGTATTGCAAATTGAAATTAAGAATTTTATTCTACAATTCTGAGTGTCTTAACAGAAAACTAGGAAAATTAGATCTGGGGAGGGAGTTGGGTAAATGTAACAGCCCCCATAAGTGTAGTTATTCATTGTTTAAGACAGTAAGAAAATATACTTATTATTAAATCGTACTGTCATTTCGGAGGATGGGTTGCCCTATAGACAAGTTATAGAGTTAAACTTGACAAGTGCCCGATGGGAGGACAGCAGTTGGAGCCCGTACACATCGGCAACAAGCACACGCAGCATATCCAACAGGACAATCTCAAGGGCTAGGTAAGACGCACGTCCAGAAAATTCCAGACCCACGATCTCAGAGTGGCGAATAGGGGGGGGGGGTCCCAATGGTCCCCATGGCGCCGCCGCAACAACACCCTCCCACACGGAACGCCTAGCAATGACTGGGGAGCGCTTGGCGAACACGTCTTGACCCCCTGGCGGTCAGGCCAGCCACGTCTGTTGTAATGGACTTGAGTCGAGGACGGGTTGGGAAATGCTTCACCCACGCCGGTCCTCACGCTTCAAGGGAGCCGGTCGGCCGAGCGGACAGCACGCTGGACTTGTGGACCTGTGGTCCTGGGTTCGATACCAGGCGCCGGCGAGAAACAATGGGCAGAGTTTCTGTCACCCTATGCCCCTGTTACCTAGCAGTAAAATAGGTACCTGGGTGTTAATCAGCTGTCACGGGCTGCTTCCTGGGGGTGGAGGCCTGGTCGAGGACCGGGCCGCGGGGACACTAAAGCCCCGAAATCATCTCAAGATAACCCACGTACTAGGAATACAAATAATCGCCAACAGAACCTAAACACCTAACCTATATATGCAAATATATTAGAATATTCATTTATATTTGAGAAAATTTCCGTTTTAAATGAACAGTATGTAAAAATTTATGAATGCGTCTGTGGAGTCGATCGTTGGGTGTAATGTATTTGAGTCGAGGACAGGTTTCCTTGCTTATTAGGCAAGGGGCCTGACAGCTGAGTGGACAGCGCTTCGGGTTCGTAGTCCTGAAGTTCCGGGTTCGATCCCCGGTGGATGCGGAAACAAATCGGCAGAGTTTCTTTCACCCTGATACCCCTGTTACCTAGCAGTAAATAGGTCTCTGGGAGTTAGACAGCTACTTCCTGGGGGTGTAACAAAAAAGAGGCCTGGTCGAGGACCGGGCCGCGGGGACGCAAAGCCCCGAAATCATCTCAAGATAACCTCAAGATAGATGTGGTATGCCATAGTCAGGAACTGGAAGCCCCTGTAAGGCTGCCGTAGGTTTCCTGGGCCGAAGCTGCCCCTGCGGTCACCCATCCGATGTTTTTGTTTCTTTGTCCCTTAACCCAATGACCGAGCAACATGCGCATCACCCATTCAAGTTCAAGTACGTTTAGTGATACAAGGAAAAAAATACATCCCAAAGGGATAGAGTAGCTTAGGCTATATCTACCCCCTTCGCATCACCCATTACTACACTCCGTCATATATCTGCACTTAAACAAATACACTTAAACATAACTCAGACCTGTGACTTACCATATACTAAGACGACCATGGTAGCAGCCGTCAACCCAATAAGTACCGTCTTCACTACAGACATGATGTCTTCTTTCCCCCGTCTTCTATTTCCGCTCAGATATTTAAGCAACCAGCCAAGTATTGCGTAAATTGATTTCTGGAACAAATATAAAAAGGCTGAGCAAGAAGATGTTGAGGATCGTCTTAGACAACAACTGGACCCAGACTGACTGCTTAGACAACCTAAGGGATGCTTCAAGCCGGCTCAGCGAGGTGACCTTGGCAACGCGGAAGTTGCATTTGTGTGTTTGCGATATTAGGAGGAGGTGCTGGAAGCAATTATTGCAGTCACACACATTTGTCGACATAGTGCTGAGAATATCAAATGCTTCTCTTTGTACAACGCATTTATATGTTATATTTGGATGGTGGTGAGGGTCGTTGGACTATTGCAAGCACGGGTAGACACACACTGATCAGCGAGGTTACTTCACATAGCTCAATAATCCTCATATACTTTCCACCATTCTTATGTTCTTGCTATGTGTTCAATATGTTTTAGACGTTTTCCTTCTTTAGCTGAGTTTTCATGTGTGGTAAGAAAAGTTAAGGAAGGAAGCTTGTGACTGTACACCAGAGTGCCGGGCGAGGGGGATTCGAGCAGGCCACTGTGAGTGGCAGTCGGGCGCATCCGGTAGCAACAGTTAAAGCCAACAAAACTATTAAACATATTTTAATATTCATATTCAGTTTATCTGAGATGATTAGTTATTTGAGGTTTTCTGTTTGCATAGTCGAGAGCGTACAAAACAGTCACAAGTTACCTGATGAATAAAATCCGAATGCAATTTTTGGACGAGTCAAGGATAACAATCAACATCTGTATTTATGTTGACGCGCATATGTATTGCTTTGCTTGTAAGTCATGTATTATGTGAGCTATTATGTATATATAAATATATATATATATATATATATATATATATATATATATATATATATATATATATATATATATAATATACGTATTATCTCACACGAATCTTCAGCAACAACAGCTACAGCAACCCGTCCTCTCAAATACATCGCATTTTGACGTATGAGGGCAAAATAACGTAAAGCATTTTGACTTTGGGCCAAATATACCTCTAAGGCCAAAAAATTTTGTACTGAAAATCACAGCGGCTCGTAAAAGTGATGTGATATTCCGTTTTATATTTATGGGTCCTCGGTTAGGTTAGGTTTGGGCAATTTAGTACATCACTTTAACGAGCGGTTGTGAACGCTCGAACGGACGGGTTGTGCCGGCCAGCCACGAAACTCTGGGACACCACACGAGAGAAAACGATGTGTGCGTTGCTCTTGATTGATTCGACCTCGATAGCAATGCCATAGAAATAAATGATCCTGAAATGTGGAATAAACTCCAAAATGTTACAAAATACTCTTCGAAGCATTTGCCAATTTAAAAATTAAACGGATAGGCACTAAAATGAATGACATTCCAGTTACAATGTATACACACCATTGTGTGTGTAATGTGTGCAATAGGAAGCTTTCTTGGTAATCTAAACAGCTTTTTTAAGACTAAACTGGAATATGTAGCACCGACCTTGAATCCATACCTTATGAAACATAAAACAACAATTTTGGAAAACGTGTAGTGGTGTGCAACTAGATTAGTGCCAGAACTAAGAGGGTTAAGCTATAAGGACAGGCTGAAGTTACTGGACCTCACAGTCTTGGAGGAAAGAAGAAATAGAGGAGATAGGATCACAACATACAAGATACAGAGGGGGGAATAGACAAGGTAGACAAGGACAGCCTCTTTAAAGTTTATAGAGAGTAGGACAAGAGGACACAACTGGAAGCTGGAAACAACTGAGTAAAAGAACTATAAGAAAATACCCTGTAAGAGTTGTCTACAAGTGGAATGCACTGAAAGTAGTTGTAGAAGCCACCTCCATCCACAACGAGGTTCGTCAAAGAATTTCAACCTCAGAATAGTTAAGCTACAGCGCAACAGGTACAAAGCTAGTAGACGGGGCATGAAGAACTAGACCTCACTTCCCAGGAGTCACTAATAGGTAAGTACGTGTCTACCACTGTATAACTAATATACCATTCTGTATAACGTATTTTCTAGTATGTATAACGTATTTACCACTATGTATATTGTGTTTTATGAAGCTGTAGTCACAAATCTATAGATACTTGTTATGAACTGTGTATATTAGAATTAAACTAGCCTAGTTTCATCACATACGTGAATTTGCATACCAGGTTAGTAAACAATAATTATAGCAGTGCATTTAGCATTTTCAGTATGCAAATGCAGTTTCGAATTAAGTAAATCCTCAGTATGGACAAATTAACGAGTAGGCTTGTAATCTCGCCGAAAATGTATGTGGAAATTTACTTTTAATTATTTTGTGTGCTTCTTTGCATATTGAAATATCAGTACCTAAACTGAAATAGCATATACAATTTTGGTGTAGGCCTAGGTCAATTTAATTGGAGTATAAGAAGCAAAGAGTTATAACCATGTAAAGTTTTAATGTACCTATATGTTCCAATATAGTTTGAGTTGTTATTACTAGGTAAATTAAATTAATATACTTTAATAAAGAGTTAGATAAGTAATTAACTGTGTATGAAGGTTGCGTCTGTGTTAGACCCAGAACCCTTGAGAAAGAAGCAGACAGAACTCTAGTCCAGCAATCAGCTTGCAGCGCTGCCCTGCCACGTCTCAGGCCAGTTTAAATGGATAGAATATCTGCTCTGAGTTTGTTGTAAACCCGAGAATTATATAAAATATTTTGCTGTAATAATGTTCTTTAGGGTTGTAGATGATGGATTGTCATTCAGTAAGTTGGACGGGTAATTTATTCATCCAAGCAGTTTTTGTAAATGTGGCAACAACCTGAATGTAGGGGAACAGACATGCTCCCTTGTCTAGAGTTAAAAGTCAGTTGTTCTGTGGATACTGTGAGAGCAGGTTGTGAGGCGGCTTGTGTCCGCTGTCTTGCATTAGGTATCCCTTAATTTTTATTACTTAAGTATTGTCTTTAAAAAATGTTTCGGTAGTTAGCTAGTATTTGCTCACGTGTGTGCTGCCGACATATTAGTATGTGGCCAGGCAAAGGAATTAATTACTGGAGTAGTCGTAGTCCTTGTAGATTGTGATTAGAGTGTGTAGCTGACACCTTGATTTCAATGGTTAATGTTTTGTTGTATGCGAATGTGAACAATGTAATATAAATCATAGACCTGAACCAGATATGGTATAAATTAGTGCTGAGACATATTAAGTGTGTCTCATTAGCCTTCCCGGTTTGGTGCCTTCATTTCATAAATACTTATTTAGATATATATATCTTCCTGTATTCATTATGGATTCATCTTCCGCATGATGACTTCTCCCGTCTTGGCAACTATAGTTCACGACAAAGAAAAAAATCTTTCTGTAATAAAGGAGTTAAACGTACTTTCATGAGCCTTACTTTTGTTTAATAAATTATTTAGTGACTAATTTAATACTAACCAAATATATTACATTCATGTGAATATGTACTGTTTAATTTTAACATCCACCTTGATGTTTACGTGGTTTTGATCTTTTCAAGGCCAGAATTAACCTCGAGTCGCTATCCGATCTGGAAGTCGTCGACCAAAATGACTGTGGTTGCCTCGCGGGTGGAGAAGAAATGTGAGTATGCATTACATGGGAGGTTAGTGTAAGTTTAAGTAAGTCAGTCTGTGGATAAATCAGTAACTTCAATTCTTATATCCACCTCTGGTTGTTCTGCTGGGCTTCCATAAAGCTAAAAAACCAGATACAAGGGTTACCTTAAGACACAGAAGAAATTACCAAGGTTGGTCTGAGTTTAGTTATTTTTCATGACTGGTCCACTAGCATACAACTTTAATATTGATGAGGTGAATGATGCCACTCGTTATTTTTATGTTGCTTCGATGCAATAATGAACTTTGCTTGAATTACGATTTGTTTTGTAACTACTGTTTTGTATTGTTATTAATATTTGATTTCTATCACTTTGAAAAAAATCTGTTGTTTTTTTCTCTTAATAATGTGTGATTTTAAGTGTATATTCGATAACTTTACAAAATTACTATTGAACAGTTCAGTTTTCTAGTGATATAAAACACATAAATTAAAGTTTTTTATTTTTTTTATTTTTACATGCAAGCATGCACAAAAGGAAAAATAAAAAGAAAATACAATACAACATGGTAATACATGAAGAGAATACACAGGGGAAAGTGACAACATAAATTCAAATACATAAAGAAGAACACACTCTGCAAAACACCGGCCCCTCCACAAACAAAGGGAGAGGCACGGGCACAGAAGACAGTAGGGCTAATGTCACAACCAGGCCACGCCCAGCACCAGCAACCACACCATCCCTGGGAGCGGGAGCCACCACCTCCCACTGTGGAGAATCCCCAGGCGGAGAAGGAACGGAAGGCACCCCCGAGACCCGGGCACCAGCATCAGCAGGCACATGAACCTCTGCCACCACCAACCGTGGAGACAGCGACACATCCGGTTCCACACCGTCAACTCCCAAGGACCCACAGTCATCGAATTCCCCAACATCGGCCCAGGCAGACGACGAACGCCTGGAACGCTTGGGCTCCGGCCGGAGATCGTCAGAGCCGGAAGCGGACCCAGAAACACGGGTCCCACCAGCCGGACTAACAGACGCCCGACGCAGAACGGCAGCAGCCTCTACCACAGGGGAAACCGGCCCACACACAGCAGGAGGCTCCGCAGCCACCCCAGCACCCAGCACATCCGGGACCCGAGGCGAGAACACAGGGCCAGGCGCAGCAGCCGAAGACGAGGAAGAAGACGGCGGCGCGTCACAGCGATCACCAGGAAGGCCTTCAGGAGCAGCGGAGACAGCGACAGGAGCACGTAGGCCATCCGACGGCACTGCAAGACCCGGAGGAGAGTCTGCAACAACCGGAGGAACGTCCGGCGATGTATGGGGAGCCGCATCTGCTAACTGAACGCTCACCTCCTCATCCCCGGAGACCTCCTCCAGAGGGAGCGGCGGGAAATCCTCTTCCCGGAACAAGTTGACCGGAACAACCGGATCCGCAGTGCATCCGGCAGCCTGATGCCCCAACATGCCACACCGGAAACAAGTACGGGGTTGCCGGGCATAATACACCGGCACGTAGTACCCTAAAAGTCGGACAGAGGATGG